CCTAGTAACCATTCCATAGGAGGCTGGGTGGAAACCAGAGTCGGCCTGGACGACAGTGAAAATTCTTTATCCCATAGGGACTCGAACTCCGGACCCTTGGTCCTCCAGCCAGTAGCTAGTCGCTATACCGACTGCGCTATACCGGCTCACAGTAAAAACTTTCACGGTACAGAACTAATCAAATTTTTTTTTCCCCTTGGCACTACAGCCCTAGTGGGCCTAGGCCTACCTCCATGAATTTCTCCGTTCACTTCGGTTTTTATAGATCTTACACATAAGGTAGGACTCCTTGGGCGAGTGATCAGCTCGTCGCAAGGCCTCTAGCTGTAGACAAACACAGAAAAACGCACACAAACATCCATGCCCTGAGTGGGATTCGAACACACGATCCCGGCTTCCGAGCGGGTGAAGACAGTGCATGCCTTAGACCGCTCGGCTACCGTGACCGGCTAACTAATCAAATACATAAATAAATTATGATGGATACGCGGTAGCATAGTTGGTTGAGGAAGGATGCTACAAGTTGGAAGGTCGCGGGTACGAGTCCCAATGTGGTAGATTCTTTTCATTTGAACTAATCTTTACAACCGCACTATGACCCTGAGGTCAAATCAGCCTCTGACAGAAGTGAGTACCAGGAATCTTCCTCGGGGGTAAAAGGCGGCCGGCGTGTAAAACTGACAACTTTACTGCCATCTGTGAGACGATTGTCTAGAAACTGTGGGAGCCTCAAACCTCTCGCAATCCCATGGGCCTTCGCGGTCTGTTACAGGGATAGCTTTACTGTTTTTTAAATTTTTTAATACGAATAAATAGTAGTAAACTATAATCCTCCATTATCAATCTCATAGCCTTCTTTAACGGACCCAGAGACATTATTATGACGAAAGAAAATGACTTTGACTCGAACATACGAACTTTGCAGCAAAGCTAACAAATTTTTGATGGTTTTCTTTTCCAGTTGATCAGAAGGACATTTTACTCGAACGCTTCCAAATAGTCACGTCTTACGCAGTAAGTGCTGCCATCTGAAATAGTTTCGGCAAAGCTGGACACTGTGGGCCTAGTACTGATTTCTGGTTCTGCCTGTTTTTATTTATTTATTAGCTGTCTGCTAAGGCTTCGCCATAGCTCAAGCCGTTAGTCGCTGGTTTCCCACCGCGGCGGTCCGGGTTCGATCCCGGATCTGGTCAAGTGGGATTTGTGGTGGACAAAGTGGCGACGGGGCAGGTTTTCTCAGAGTACTTCGGTTTACCCTGCCAATCTTCATTCCACCAATTGCTCCACAGTCACCCTCACCTACCATCTGGGGCTGGTGCAACTGGCCAGAAGTGGCCGCAGTAAAAGGGACTTAGTCCCACCCCACTAGCAATAAAGAAATAGGTGTCTGTTAGAATACGTAATGGCAGAGAAGCTTTGATAGATGCGTGTTTGTGTATTTCAGAATTTTTACCTCCTTTTGCAAGAAAATTAACTTATGAAACACTAATGCCACTTACCCCAGAGAACAGTCAGCAGTTTAGCACGTGGAACCACAACGAGGAGACTGTATAAGGCTAGGAGATGTATCACAGTCAGCAGTATCACGTTGTTCCATTTCATCTGCTGCTTCGCAGGCGTCGCGGTGTCTGCCTCCCCATTAGCCACCATATTGCCAAGAAATATATCTTTCTGCAATATACAGTGATTGTGTTAGGTAGAAAGAAAGGCGTAGTTGTCCCTGTGCTTAATTAAAGACCACGTCATTTTTGACCGCTACACTAGATGGAGGTGAGTGTTTGGTTTCACGCTCCGGCCGTCTTGCAACCGGGAAGAGAACTCCCGGTGTGCATTGGATAGGTGGTCGGTCTGGAAGTGATGAGGATTTCTTGAGGAGAATTGAGCCCAGAGTCCGTCCTTATACCGACTGAGCTATCGAGACTCGCAGTATGTTACACTCATGTGAAAATGGAGGGAGTGTTCGGAGTAGGAAACATTTAAACGGACGTCTCTAAAATGCCGATTACGGTGGCCGCGCTGCCTAAGGCATGAACAGCTTCACCCTCTTGGACTCTGGGATCGTGGTTTCGAATCCTACTTAAGGCATGGATATTTGTGTTAGGTAGTAGCCTTGCGACGGGCCGATTCCCTATCCAATGAGTCCTACCGTCTGTCTTGGATTAAGAGAAAATAAAATTTACTTACCTCGACACCGCAAGGTGTAGAAGGGGCAACTAAGGAAAGAAAGAAAGGCTCTGAAATCAGTGAATATTTTGTTATTGTGGAAACCACAAATTGATCTGTCGGTAAGTCGAGCGTTTTGAAATATTCTTTCAAAATATTTTGCAGTTTCTCCCTTGAACACAAAGTGACGCAAATGACACACGCGCCTTTATGTCTGTTTTATCAGTTTTGGGGGCCTTGAAACTCACGTAGTTACTGTTATTATAGAGTGTATGTAAGGAGTGGGTGGTGCGTGTGTTGACAGTTGGTGGGTGGTGCGGATGTCGTGGAGGCGAAATGTGATAAATATTTTGGTGTCTACAAATATGCACACAATTTCGTGGCATATTTTAAAGGCGCGTCCACATTACTCGTGCTCGTGCGGCAGAAGCTCACTGCTGCCGGAAAATCAGGATCTGGAGCTGACGAAGTGGACGCCCAAACTGGTTTGCATACAAAGCCTTCGCATTTCTTCACAACAGATATCAGCTCCAAGTCCTGATTTTCCGGCAGCAGTAAGCTTCTGACGCACGAGCACGAGTAATGTGGACGGGCCTATGGTGGAAGTGGAAGGCATGGCCCCGGAGCTTCTGACTTCTAATCGCGAAAATTTCACCAGGAATACCGCTCCGCTAGCCTCCATGATATAAGACTCGGAGCAATTCAGTTGTACCGAAGACAGAGACGTCCAATCGTCACTTGACGTGCACCGACGGTACGGCAGTTGTGTCTGTGCTTAGTTAACAGCACCATGACATGAAGGTGTATGGAGGAGTGGAGGAATAGCTTCATCAGTCTTAAACTCGACACTCTGTTGGGTGTGAACAGTCACCGTCTGCGGGTGCTTTATCCCCGGGGAATCAGTGCCCACTACCCACTACGTAAGATGTTGGGTGGGGCCCAGAGCCGGTCTGGACGCTGCAGAGAAGAGGAAGAATCTCGTACATTCGTTGGGACCGAACTCTGGCTTCTTGGCCGTGCAGCTCAAGTAGCCACGTCGCTAATCGAATGAGCTGACTCGGCCTCATATTCCGTACTGAACTCATTAACAGTTCATTTTAATAATATTATATACATATATATGTGAATAGGAGCCGGGATATCGTAGTCGGTATAGCGACTTGTTACGGGGTGGACGGCTGAGGGTTTGAAGTTGAAGGCCCAGTATGGGGTCAAGAATTTTGTTTTCCCCACGTCTTCCAGACCGTCTTTCGGGCTCACCCAGCCTCCTATCCTATGGGTACTTGGGGGGAGTCCTTCCTCGGGGATAAATCGGCCGGGGCGCGAAGCTGACCACTCACCTCAAACTAGTGCCCAGTTCAAGAAAAGTTGAATCTATACATGCACTCCCCCCACATGCTTTGCGTAATGCTTAATTAATTCAGCACAGGGACAACTTTGTTTTTTATTTATGTGAATAATTATACAATTTAGTACGTAAGTGACACGCCAACAGATCCGCTATGCTGAATTATGTACAGTGTTAGTATGAGGTTTACATACTTGCTCGCAGAATTGGGGGCTGAAGCTGTGGAAACGTGTCAACACCCGGAGCGCTTGTCTTGTCCTGACCAGAGTCGTCACGGAACTGTCGTAACAAATCAACTAGATGAGGCAAAATCTTGTGAACGCGACGGTCTTACTAAAATTAGTATTTCTTAACAAAATGTCAGAGTCCACGCTCCACTGCTCCCTTACGTGCCCTTGCAAGTATTGGTGGCCTCTGGTCCGCAGTTCATGATAATCGTGGGAATGACATTCAGACAGATAACACAGCATATGTACTTGCTTTTACCTGTGCTCCATTTGTGTTCCCACGGCTCTTCCTCTATATTCTTCAACACTGTCGGTATTCAATTTATTATTGTTATTTACTGCAATTGGGTGGCAGTAGGCCATACACTGACACAGACAAGGAGAGACTGTAGGTTCCAACGCAGTGCCAGCCAGCTTCTGGCTAAGACAGTGTGGAGAGTGGGCAGCGAGGAAGATAAGGCGTTGAGAATTGAAGTGTCATACAAGTGCTAGAACAGAGGGAGACGCAGGAAACAGTAGTAGAAGAAGAGTTGGAAAGTGAAAGTTATTGGAGAATTGAGAGACCCCTGTTTTCGGGGGGGGGGGGNAGAGAAAGAACATTATATTATCACGTGTATTTGTGACTAGGACGCGGGTTTGGATTTGTAATTGGATTTATTGGATACTTACATGTCGTAACTACAAATAATTATAAAACCGTCACTGATTTACACAATCTGCAGTCACTCCACACTAATCTTCTGTCTATCTGCACAGGTCCTCACGGATTCATAACACAGGAAGTAAAAAGGTCTCAGTAAATAACACATTCCCAATATCACTGTGCGACAGCACACATAAAGTCTTCAAATCACAGGTTAAATCTTCGCAGGCTGACTTCTTGTACGCATCTTCAAACTACGAACTTCCTGTGAGTATCTCTTCCTAGAACTGACTTGTCCTTGAAACGAATGAATTCTGTCACTTATGCAGCCGAGAAACGGACACCCTTCAAAGGAAACAAATATTACGTTACCACCACCCACCGCTATGTGACGTCACCTCGTACACAGAAAACAAAGCCTCCACTGTTGTTGCGTGTAGGACCGTGTTTACAGAGCTGTTGCCTGGCAACACTTTGAACAAATCAGTTTTCATAAGATTCCCAGGCTTCGCCCTCTCGTCCTTCTGATAATGGTAGTGTGAATGAGAAGATCTTAAGATGATTATAAGCAATGGCTTGAGACAAGTACACCGGGATTTTGATTTTCTGAATTAATGTCGAATTGTACAATTTGGAATAGCAGTTTGGTAGCTATTACAGCATAGGGATATGATCTTTAAACGTACAAACACGCAGCTCCTGTTTCGCTGTTACAAAGAGCAGCCCATTATTAGTACTCAGGGAAATAATTGCTATTATTGTGAATATCGTACGAAACACGTAAATAAATTGTGTTGGCAGAAGGCGAAGATCTTCAGAGTTGGAGTAGGCATGGGGTTCCTTTTTCTGCGGGGTAAGTATTCGAACCACACCACATTCTTTTCGAGTTTGGAACTTAATCTTATAATTAAACTGTATGTAACATCCACGTCGTGATACGCTTGTTATGACACCATGGTGTTGTCGGTGGTTGTCATAGATTCGAGTTAAGATATTGCTTGTCTCCTGAATTCAATCCAGAAGACAGCCTTATGAATCTTCACTGCTGTGAGAGGCTTAGATCTTTAATCTTCGCTTTCCGCTGGATTTTCAACGGAGATTACATCTGTGTTTTGCAGCGAAAGCAACATATATTGAGTTCCTCGCTACAAAGAGGGCTTTCTCTAAATAAGAAAACTAGATCACTAATATTGTGAGCCGTGCTAATTAGTAACAATAATGTGAGATGTCTCACCAGCCTGGCACAGCAAATGTGATCACGTCTCGTGCTCATTAGGGTGGCTACACCTGTCTGTGCATGGTGTTGTGATGCGCATGCGCCCCTTTTTCCAGAACGCTCTGTATGAAAACAGTTCCCAAACACCGGGCCTACTTCCCAAGTTAATATGGTCATTATACCTGATTCCCACGGTTTCACCTGTATATTATTTTGGGGAAACATTGTTTGGCAAGAAAGTTAGTACATGCCCTGCTATTGAATTGGGTTGACAGTTCGGGAACCCGGAAGAAGAGAGGGTCCACCGTTGAAAGCCGCTACGAAGCAACGGCTAGTGAAGACGGAGAATAATTTGTGTGCTTTGATGCGTAACTCAGTGTGACAATCGTAGCTATTAGTAGCTACGTTCTGTAATTGTCCAATAAATCCAGTTACCAATACGAACCGCGTCTATAGGGACTATGGCGTAACAATAATATTGCCACTATTACGAGCTGGGATAGATCAGTGGGTATAGCGACGTGCTACGGGGCTGGATCGGCAGAGTTCGTTCCCCGGCATGAGCAAGAGGGCTGGGCATGATGGTTATCACGTCGGTCTACTGCCGAGATCCAGAATGGTGGAGCTACAGCTCCACACCCCAAAACGTCTTCATGATGTGATGATTACTTTATTAAGCTCAGTTACAACTTTAATTTTTTATATATATGTATATTTTTTATATTTGTGAGAAACTTATGCAGGGTTCCTTGTAACTGTGTGGGGATTGTTTCTCCGTAAGTTTATATATTTCACCACGCTTGCAACGTTTGCTGGCCTCTCGAACATTTCGTGCACAGTGTGTAGGCCTATGTTTGCGTACGAAGTTTCATGTGCCTAGCCCGACTGGTTGATTGTGTGCTGCTGCCTAAGAGTTCATGCGTCCGCCATGTTACCATTAGTGTGTTAATGATCACTGATATACCAGATATTGTGAAAACTGATCAGTTTTAGTTGAACGGGGCACAGACTGACAGGTTGCACATCTCACAAGGCTGTTCCCTTTCCTTCAGGTATGAAAGCGAGCAAGGCAAAATAAGTGACATTCAGTATATAAATTACGTTGTAGTACCTGGAACTCCGAAATTAAGGGAGATATATCGCCCTTTCCCTATGAACTTGGGGAAGTTTTCATTTTCAGTGGACACTTTTAATTCGTCGATATTTTTAAAGTGAATTTTTATAATTTTGTGTTTTGGACTTCGTTGCGTCGATGAGAATTCTAAAATACATAAAAAAGTGACCTATTTTTTTAGATATACTTGTCCGTTACTAACCAATATTTTGTATAGGTAAGATTCTGTATAAAGTCTTGTTTAAATATACTCAGTCGTTAGAAGGAAGCGCTATAGTTCCTTTTCATTTTCTTCTGTACAGAGCGGCGTCTCTTCAGTTTCGTCGTCTAGCAGATGCGCTTCTTCTTCAGTCACTTCCTTCACATGACCCCATTCTGCATGGGTACCGTCTCCTCTTCGCTGCACAACTTTCTGGATCATCCTTGGAGAAGGCTGCTTTAAATCGTAAGCCCAACCAATAAGAGCGAAGAAGTCGATAAATGCTGTTGTGATGTTCAAACCATAGTCACCCAACTCGGCTGTCTTGTAGTCCCAAGGAAACGTGTGGTGGTAGTTGTGCCAGCCCTCACCCAGAGCTATCGCCGACACCACGCGGTTCTCTGCGGGCAATATTTTCCTGAAACAAGTTCGGATATTTTACAGAAATTAACGCTTTTTAATTCTCCAATGTTCTTGTTTTTTCCTTGGCACTACAGCCCCAGTGGGCCTAGGCCTACCTCCATGAACTTCTCCGTTCACTTCGGTCTTTCTAGATCTTACACAGTCGGTAGGACTCCTTGGGCGGGTGATCAGCTTGTCGCAAGGCCTCTACCTGTACACGAACACCGAAAAACGCACACACACGAACTAAACTACTATGCCCTGAGTGGGATTCGAACCCACGATCCCAGTTTCCAAGCGAGCGAAGACAGTACATGCCTTAGACCGCTCGGCTACCGTGACGGGCAGTGTACTTGTTACCTAATATAAAAGTTTCTCTTACAATTAAAAACTGCATTCTGCCCACACAGTGTATTTGTGTGTTCCGTATGGTTCTCACAATAAACAGCGACTGTTTCCCTAAACAGCATTAACCGGTTGGGCTTTGTAGCGGAGACGTAATGTGTTTCCTGTGAGGTACGGACTGAACTGTGCATTCTGCCCACACAGTGCATTTGTGTGTTCCGTGTAATTCTCACAATAAGCAGCATTAAACATTTTGGCTTTGTAGTGAAGACGTAATGTGTTTCCTGTGAGGTGCGAACTGATGTCTGCACTGTACCCACACATTTGTATTTGTGTGTTCAGTCGTCGGAGAGACTTCAGGCAGGAAGGTCGCATACCCAAGCCAGGCCTGTTCTCTTGGCCCAGCGCGGGAGCTCCAAGACATCGAACAGCTTACGGTTCTGAATAACCAGCCCCGTATGTTGCAGACAAAGAGAAGAAAGAAGAGGATTCCAGCTTACGCTTGTGTTCCCGGCGGTACTGCCTCAGTTGAAACCTAACGATGCCAACGAACTCTGAGGATCCTTTGTAATCCTTACATTCCACCCTTAACCAGTGTTGCAACATCGGTGAATCAGCGCTAGCTTGTAGGAGTAAGTTCAGGTGGGCTTCGGCCCGCCTGCTTGTCGGAGGTTACTGCTGTCATCGGATGATGCAACTGTCCTTGGTTCAGTTCCTTTTAACTTTTAACTTATACTGCGTTCCAAATAGTATTATCACTTCCCTGGTACGCTCGGTGTTGGTGAGTAAACCGTAGCTGCCAGCGTGGTGAAGTCCAAGGTTATTAGATTGGACCCCCTAGGCATTAAGAGGGTTATGGACGTTGGAGGCCCCGCAGCCCTAAATACAACCATAAAGAAACCCAGAAAAGTAAATAGAAATAAAGCCGAAAAAAATAAACCATTAGAAAAACCAACCATTTTAACCATAAAACCTAAACACGCGCTCCGGTCCCCAGTGAGCGTAGAGTCCGATAGTGCTTCATCTGAATATTCAGATTCAGAAATGGCATCGATATGGCCGGAAAATAAAACCCCTCCAACTAAAGAAAATCTTAAACAGTCCGAACCAAGCAGACCCAAGTCAGCCTCGCCCGTGATATGCCCTTCTGGCAATCACAGCCTTACAGTGGCTGCAGATGTACACTGTTCCCAAGGTGGAACTAAAGCTGTGAGGCAAGGTGCACAGAAACCTGCTTTATCGGCAAGAGCCTCTTCTGAACCGCCTAATCCAGATGAGATAGCGGAGGATAATGACTTCACTGTCATTACCCCCAAAAAGAGAAAAAACAAAGCAAAAGTAAACCCACCCATAACAGAAGCCGCCATTAATACAGCTTTGCCATCCTCTCCCGCTCCTGAGAGCCGTGTTGCTGGCAGCTCAGAGAAGAGGACCAACTTCCTAACCGCACCCAGAGAGAAAATTCCGCCG